CCACGGAGCGAGCTCTCACTCACGGGCCTCCGTAACGCAACTCCACGGAGCGAGCTCTCATTCACGGGCCTCCGTAACGCAACTCCTCGGAGCGAGCTCTCACGGGCCTCCGCAACTCCTCGGAGCGAGCTCTCACGGGCCTCCGCAACTCCTCGGAGCGAGCTCTCATGGGCCTCCTTTATTCTCCGGCGACGACGACCTTCCAGCGACACTAGACGTGGCCATCGTTGCCGCTAGCCACCGCAGCTGAAGGAGCTGTAAGGACGCAGCAGTCCGCTACCAAGGACGCCGCAGAAGCCTAGGACACCTTGCCGCAAGAGGACCAGACGCAGTATACTCCGACACGGACGTCGCCGAATAATATACTTACACCCAACGTACAAGCGCCGCAAGGCGCCATAAAGTAATCGTCATAGTACCGAAAGGTACCTCTGTACATAGTGTACATACAGGAGTCTGAATAAAGATCACACTATATTTTTTATTTGTGGATACACCAGTTATTCAACGGTACCCATCCACAAAAAATTACATATAATTTTTATAAATGGTTATTTTACATTCTTTGCTTATTCCTTGTCCGCCTCTTCTTAGGCTAAAAGTCCAAAATTAAATAGTAATTAGTTCGTTAATTAATTTCACGAAGGGCTATGAGCCAATTAAAATTTGAAAATGTTTAATATTCGTACAGACGTTTCGATACCGATCAGATCATTTTCAATGTAAAAATTAATATAGGTTTATATGTACCATACGTTTCAATTTTTTCTAATTGTATTGCATGATTTGTAGCTTATAGAAGGTTACACGAAAAGAATCGAAAATATATACATTTGTGATACTTGAATTATACTAGAAAAAGCTGACCCATATATATACTCTGAAAAGTATGTGATATAGCCCAAAAATATCATTACAATGAAAAGTTCAGGCCATGTTCAAAAATGTAAGCAGATCTTCAAAAATGTAAACTTTTGAAAATTAAAATTATTATTAGGTGTACAACTTTGCTTTCGTTTTTTTTTCCGAAATTCGAGGCTTTATTGTAAAAAACTGATTATACATTTATGATTCAAAGTATTTTCCATCGCTGGCCACTAATTTCTCCCATCTTTCGGGCAGCGTACGAATCCCGCGTCGAAAAAACTGGTCATCTTTTGAGGCGATCCACGAATCGATCCAATTTTTTACTTCTTCATAAGACCGGAAGTGCTGGTCAGTCAGATCGTGTACCGTTGATCGAAACAAGTGATAGTCAGAGGGAGCAACGTCTGGAGAATACAGCGGGTGGGGTAGAACTTCCCATTTCAACGTTTTCAAGTATGTCTTGACCACTTTCGCAACATGGGGTCGAGCATTGTCATGCTGCAAAACCACTTTATCGTGTCTCTCATTGTATTGCGGCCGTTTGTCTTTCAATGCTCGGCTCAAACGCATCAATTGCGTTCGATACAGATCACCTGTGATTGTTTCAGTCGGTTTTAACAGCTCTTTATGCACTTCGCCGAGCTGGTCCCACCAAATACAGAGCATTACCTTGGAGCCGTGAATATTCGGTTTGGCCGTCGACGTGGAAGCATGGCCGGAAACTCCTCATGGTTTTCTGCGCTTGGGGTTATCGTAATGAACTCATTTTTCGTCCCCAGTCACAATGCGATGCAGAAATCCCTTCCATCTTTGCCTTTCAAGCAGCTGTTCACAAGCAAACAAACGCTGTTCAACATCTCTCGGCTTCATCTCGTACGACACCCAAATTTCTTGCTTCTAAATCATTCCCATGCCTTTGAGGCGTTTTGAAATGGCTTGTTGAGTCACTCCCAATGATCATGCCAATTTTTGATTTTGACACGAGTCTTGATCAAGTAATCCAATTCTGCATCTTCGAAAACCTTCTCTCTTCCATCGCTATGGATCCTGACGTAGTGTCGGTGGACGAATATCAAATCGCGCGAATATTCTGGCTGCGCGTTATTCAAACGAATCTATTTCACGACGAGGTCGCTCGCTTACGAAAGTCGAATACCGTAGCGAAGGCAAATTGATCTCACTCAATCCATTCTTGGATGACAATAATTTAATTCGCGTCAGCGGCAGATTACGAAAATCGGAACTCTCGTATAACGTCAAGTATCCTATTGTACTCGCCGCGCATCCCCTTGTGACGTTGATAATTCAACACGCTCATACACGCGCGCTTCACGCCGGCAGTCAATTAACATTACATGCTTTACGCGAAGACTATTGGATTCTTCGCGCTCGCCAAACGGTGCGCTCCGTCTTATATCGCTGCGTTCCATGCACGCGTGAAAGAGCTACCGTTCCGAATGAGATGATGGGCGATCTCCCCGCGATGCGCATACGACAAGTTGATCGCGCCTTCATACATTGCGGTCTTGATTATGCCGGGCCCGTTCCTGTTCGAATGAATTCCGGCCGCGGGCATAAATCGCGGAAAGCGTATAGTGCCGTCTTTATCTGCATGACGACTCGCGCCATCCATCTCGAATTAGTCAGTGACTACACCACCGACGCATTTTTAGCCGCCTACGAGCGCTTTTCTTCTCGGCGCGGGATACCTACCGATTTGTACTCCGATAATGCAAAGAACTTTCTAGGAGCCGACCGCGAATTAAAGGCTGCGCTGCAAGCCGCACGAAACGATTCACATTTACTCAGCAAGTTGTCGTGCGACGGAGTTCGTTGGCACTTTATACCCCCTTCCGCTCCTCACTTCGGCGGCCTATGGGAAGCGGGGGTGCGAAGCGTAAAGCATCATCTGAAGCGAGTTATCGGTTCACACACGCTAACGTTTGAAGAGCTCACGACGCGGCTCTGTCAAATCGAAGCGTGTCTTAACTCGCGTCCGATCGCACCGATGTCGGAGAATCTCGACGATGATTCATGTCTCACGCCGGGCCACTTCTTAATTGGCAACGCAATTACTGCGACACCGGCGCCCACGCTACTTGAAACAAAGGAAACCCGTCTGACTCGATGGCAACTCGTAAAGCAAAAAAACGAAAGCTTATGGAAGGCTTGGTCGAACGACTATTTGCACGGATTGCAGCAACGCTCAAAATGGCGCGTCGCTCAAAGGCTTGCTCGAGTCGGACGCTTGGTTCTTTTGCGCGATCCCCTCGCACCACCGTGCAAGTGGGAGCTTGGTCGTATCATCGAATGTCACGTTGGAGACGACGGATTAACTCGCGTCGTCACTGTCAAAACCGCGAAATCTACATACAAACGATCAATCGTCAAACTGTGTTTCTTGCCAGTCGATTTGAACGACGCTTCCGCGTGAATCATTGTCGTGCGTAACACTCCGTAATCGAGCTAAGTTTCGCTCAATCATATTTTCGAATGAGTTACCATTATCCTAGTCTTCACATATGTTAATCTCCGTATCTCTCTATAAATATTATTTTTTTTTATTATTCGTTTTAAGCTGAATTGTAAAGTGTATCGACGCTATTTATCTTTATGTCATCATTAGTTTAAGTTAGTGTTAGCTCTGCTTGCCACGGCGGGCGGCATCAGACATTCGTGTTTCGGCTGGTTCAGCCGAGGCGGGCGGTATGTTCCGACATTGCATGATATTCGCGCAGGATAGATGGAGATTATGGATCGATGGCGCCATCCATCGATTCCTTGCGGGAGTCTTTAGTCACAGACGCCGCGCCGTCTCACGAACATTATTACCGCAATTTCAGCGTGTTATCGCGTGATTGGGTAATATTCAAACCGATGTCGTGGTCGCCTGCCGATTCGTCGCGTAACTCGCGCTCTCTGAGGCTGCCGTTTCAGGTAGCGCGACCATCTTCAGAATCTCGCTAGCGCTCATCGTGACGAGTCGTGTCTCCCGTCACGAAAATCAGTAAAGTTAACGGGCTATCGCGACTGTGAATCAACAGAACACCGCGATTCGACTCTACAGATCGGCCAGGTGTAACGTTTTGATTTATTCGCGAATCCGTCGCTACGTCCGTCAAACGCAACCACGTTCGTGCCTCGTGTGCGCTACCGCGACACGATCTTATGTACCGCTCATCACGGCGACTTCCGTGTATGAGCTGCGCGAAGGTCACTTGGAGCAACGTTGCCGCCCTTTGGTGAGAAGCGTGAGAGTGATAATAAAGTTCTGTATCCAACTAGTGAATTGTAGTGCGCCGTTTCTTTATCACCAGTCAACCGATTTCCATCCCGCCTCGTGAGATCGCATTCGCGATCGATTCAGCGAATCTCATACAAAAACGGACAATTTCCTCAAAAATATTCATTGCTTACTCGTGTATACTCACTATCGTTTCTTCATGATACACTGCGAGTGCTTGCGAGTGCAACAAACGGGCGAGAACGGGCTGAAAATGGGCTAGAAACGGGCTAAAAACGGTCCATATGAGGTCTAAAAACGGTAAAAAAGTTTTATAAGAGTTCGATCTATTAGAAAACGAAACAAAGTAAGCCTGATATATGACTAATATTTTATATTAACCCTTACCGTACTAATATGGATAACTAGTGACCGAGCGATTCCTGTTCGTGCAAGTTTCTTTGAGTCTTTCAGTAATTATAAATTATACTACATTTTATTATTTTCCAAAATAAATAGTTAATATTTATTCTAGAAAGTTGAAAGTATGTTGTGAATTTTAGAGATTTTTTGAATTATTTTGAAGAGGTGAAAAAACAAAGAGATTTGAAGTGACTCTTGATGGTATGGATGAGGCACCAAATTGTAAATGGTACGATAAGGGTTAAATAATATGTATACATTGTGTGTATGTGTTTACATTAGGGTGAATCGATTTTTTTAATCCTTCGTTGTAAATGTATTTTCGGAAAATTGGTCTTCAACAATTTTTCACTCAAATACTATCAACTTTACAGAAAAACGGTAAGAGACAAAAATGGTTTATTTTCTTCTTATAGAGCTCTAAGAATTTTGTCAAAATTTTTCATCAACTTTTTAGTACTCCATTTTCTCATTTTTACTAACATGAGAAAGTACGGTATATATTCTGTATGTGTGTGTGTGTGTGTGTGTGTGTGTGTGTGTGTGTGTGTGTGTGTGTGTGTTGTATATATAATATATACAACACATATACACTACCGGTCAAAAGTATTTTACCACCCATATTATGTAATTGTATGCTAAAAACTACGTAAACATTAGTTTCCTTTAATTGTAATTTATTATATGTACATATATAACAGAGACATCGTAGTAATATTTGATTTTAAGGAGATTGTAAGGGCATAAAACACATATATTAACATTTTCGATTTAAACAAATTACATACATGTGAAAGTTGTGTTCATAACATTCTGGTTTTATTGAGCAACTCATTTTTATAGGTTATTTATTTTATTTGTTATTAGTTTTATTGTTATAAACAAAAATTGTTAAAATAATAAGAAAA